AAAGCTACACCAGCCCATAGAGAGAGGAGGCGATGCACATTACAGACCTAGCAGCACCACTTAGGTTTATTTAGTGGTTTATTTAGTTTATTTAGGTATGAGTGTAAAAGCTGGGATTCGATGGCAATAGACCACCAGCCTGTGGCAAGCAAACTGAAGACAGGTCAGCTAAAAATTAAAAATAAAAGCAAATATATCCAGACTAGCCATTACTATTTAGATATAGACACCACACTTGTGCAGGGACTCCACACCTACCCAGGGAGCTCCGGGGCAGACTGTGACAACCCAGGAAGACAAAGGCAGTGCAGACATCAATTACAAGTCAAAGGGCGAGACACTGCAGATGCCACAGAAAAGCAGATACTCTTTTAAATTCAATCAGTGCTGACCCAAGCAAACCACCAAAAAAAAAAAACTAATCAAAGAAAGGAGCTCAGACTGATAGACTGATGCACACATTCATGTATGCTTCCACTTTTTCTCTCCTTTACATGGTTCATAGCTTCCAAAACTACTCAGCGCTCCCTTCTTCAGGTTCTATGATGTCTGTGAAGAATAATATAATGACAAAAATCAAACAAACGAAAAAGTGGAATGCTTTGGCTTTCTGACATCAAAGACTAAAGCAAATGATTGCATTCAGTCCTTGAATTTAGGAATAGCAAAGACTAGAGATGGTCAACAGCAACGACAGAAGCTCTGGCTTTCAAACAGCTTGCTGAGCAAGGCAGTTAGTTACCTTTCTCCTTGCTCAGTCCTAGGTTATCCCTCGCAAGTGTAATTCATTTGTTCTTTAGTGTAATTAGCATAAAGCATTCACACAGATAGGTGTGTATGGTGATTCAAGCAAGCACATCAGGGAAAACTTGCTTTTTCCTTTTTGCCGATCTATGACAGACACCTCTCTGTGCTGTGGCCCAGAACCGCTGTTGGTAGAAGAAGCCAACAAAAGAGGCCTGGAAAATATAAATTATTCTGTAGAGCTGCCTCTTCTGGGCATGAGCAATAAGTCACTCAGAATCACACGGTCTGAGGAAAAATTAGTAATAGCTATTGTGCTGTCCCAACACTTGGCACTTCACATACCCGTTACTCCCCATTATCAGTTCTTCAGCTAACTCCTCCCCCCCCCCCCATTTTTTTTTTGTAAAGACACTTCTGGAGTGTTTCTAGGGAGCTTTGTGACTTACATTTACATGACTAGCAGCCAAGGCAAAAAAATATCAGTGTCTGAGAGTCTCACCAGTAGCCCTGGTTGGGAGTATCCTTGAGATACACTGTTTACAGGCTGGAAGACTAACTCTAGTTACAGAGAAGAATAAATGGACAATGGGTATAAGTTCTCTGAACTTCTGGGAGCCCTTAAAACAAGGGAGTAGGAGAACATGAAAGAAAGAAAGAAAAAAAGGACATAAACCAAGATACTATGCAGATCTAAAGACAACAATCGCAAATGTGCAAAAAGTTTTGGAATAAAACAAAGCCCCAATACTTAACTAGCTACTGCTGTGCACTTGTTTTTCAAGTAGTCCATATGCATATGCTAACACGACCAATACACCAGCATGGCATGTCAATAGGAAAAGTAAGGAGCCTGCAGAAATAACACTTACCAAGCTTTTAGTGCAGATGTGGCAGATGTTTAAGGAGACATTAAGAGGGCCAATGACCCTCTTTATCAAATTTTAAATCAACTTATGAAGAGATGACAGTGACATTCTGTCCTTCAGAATTAGCAATCAAATCTACCTTCAACAATGAAATTACAAAGCTTAATAGTTATTAGATTACAACAGAGTTTTTCTTCTTTCAAGAGTTGTCTCAAGTTCCTAAGCAGGCCAGTAATTCCTCTCCATTTTTCCATTTGTATTCTTGGCTCACAGCCATTTCAGACATCAGGCAAATTCCAACTGCTGAAATTAATCCACTGTCTCAGGTTTAAAGAGTATCCAGGAAAACTTTCATATGGAGGTAGGAGTCTAGTTGTAACCATTACTCCAACCGTGCAGTTTGAAGTGTTTGTTCTTTAAAGTAAAGCTACTGTACATGAAGAGTATTTCATCCATGCACATTATACATAGGTGTACATTCATGCACACTAACGTGCAAGTCATAAACGGTAGGTCATAGACATTACCAAACTAAATTACAGCTGGTATCTGCATTTTTTGAACAATGAAAACAAAAAAGTTCAACAAGCAATGGCAGTGTTTCTTCGGAAGTCTGATGAAACACTAAAGAAATATACACTTAAGCCTAAGTAACCACAAACGATGATCAAAAAACCCACCTTTTTTTCATCCTTATTTTTGCCACAGACTGGAGTTTTCAAAGGGAGATGAAAAAAGCTAGGCTAACAATTGTTGTTATTTCCTTGTGACTTATAGGTACTCAAATATGGAGATGATACAACAATCACATTAGAAATAGAAAGTAAGATTTCAGAATAATTTGAGACCAAAGACTCAGTTACTTCCTATGGAATTTATGTGCTTTGGAAAAACCCAGCACCATCTCTTTAAAATGTTCTATGACAAATGTGTTTCCCCTGATGCGAAGAAGAGAACAAATGATAGGTTTAAATAGCACCAGCATACTATAATGATGAGCCCTTATAAAAACAACAAGTTTACACAGAACACAACATTTTTCAAGCTATGTTCTCTCTCTGTCGACTCCCACGCACATTCAGATGCAGAGAGTTATGATCATTCCATTTCACATTCACAAAACATCATTCCCCTCCCTCCCAGGTTCAGCAGTAAGTTTTGAAAACACTGTGCTTCAGAAACGCAGACACCTGGAGGTTCAGTCAAGATTTGAGGAGTCTGCTAAGAAAAAATGCAGGGACAATCACAGGAGATATTAATAAAACAAGACTCTTCATCTGCTTTATTTGAACATTAGATTGTGAGTGTAACATATATATTAACCTACAACTAGAAAAAAATACCAGCAATGATATGCCATTGGAAATTGCTCATGAGTGTTTCCTGAAGTCATTAGTAGATAATTTAGAAATTTGGCATGGAGACAGGAATTGCCCCCATGTGCTGTCAGTGTCAATGTGGCTCTTACATACAGCACAAATTCCACAGCAACAGCAATGATTTGCCATGAGAACCATGAGTTTTCAGGTATAACTTAGAGTCCATTTCCCAAATATTTTAGACCTTTTGAATCAAAGTTTCCACCTGTGATGCCAGAAGTCAACTACTATATTAAAAACAGAGCAGGTGACAATGCTCTTGACCACATTTCAGGCTCAATGCAATGACTCCAAAGGGAGTTTGTCCAAACACAATAAAAAAAGACCCATGACGTGCAGTATCTGGCCAAGAGCATATACATAGATTGCTGAACCAGCTGTGAGAAACGGCACACTTTTACATTAAAGTTAATCTCACAGTTAATTGCAAGTGTTATTTCTGCTCCATTGTTTTATAAATCTAATTTTATTTATAAATATCCTCCCGGTTTGCTAGCCATGTACACAGGAATTTCCACCCCCCTAATACTTCAAGGGACATCAATCTTGAGGAAATGCAACTCCCACACTTTGACTGTTATACGGGAAAAACAATGTTGTTATGCAACACTACACTGTTCCAAAACATCTCAAAGTCACACCCTCAGCTTCAGCAGTTTCAGAGATAGAAGTGGCAGTTTATCAGCTATGGAACAAATTCACAGAAAATTGCCAACAGGGTCCAGATAATTACAAGGTTTATGCACGAGGCTCCTCTGCAGCAAGAAGAGGTATTCCGTACCTACAAATGTGCACTTGCAGGTATTTAGGAAATTCTTAAAATTTAGGACTTCCAAATACCCTCACATTATTTCCTAATTTAACTGCAGATTGACCAACAGAAATCCTACAAATAGCACTTCCCACACCACTTCCCTAACATTTTCTGCCAAAGAGTTTTGGGCTTTTTTTTCTTCCAGACTTACAAATGATCATAAATTAAGCAACATTGCCAAGTTTTGTTTGTGAAGGAAGGTTATCAGAGATAACCCTTCTCTCACAGATAACCCCAAGTGAGCAGAAATGAGGCACAAGTTCCTCTCCCTCGTTTTTCTTAACTACATCTTTTCCAGACTTGATATTCCCATTGATTATTAAACTCAAGAGTAATCTTCAAAAATTTGTCTTTCAGAATGCAGCAATTGGGCTAATTTAAAAGATAACTCCTGCCATAACACAGGTAGATAAAACCAGTAAATTCTAAATAGCAAGAATGCAGTTAAAAGTCTCCATGGAGGACTGCAACTAACATCCAAAACTCGGCTAGCTCCACAGTGATGACTTCACAGAGCGCAGTATCACTATTCAGTAACAATTTCAGATAAACAATAAATAACACATCCATCTTCAGTAAAAGCAGATTTCAAAGAAACATACAGTATAATCTCCTACTCAAAATGTAGCTTTTCTTAGAGTTAAAAAAAATCCTTTTGCAAAAATTGCTAGGAAACATTTGATGATTACAGTCAGCAATTCTCTGGTTTGTCTCTTACCAAAAAGACAGACAGTTTGCAAAGGTTTGTGCTCAGTCTCTCTTAGCAATCTTTCCTCAAAGCACTGACCTGGCCTGACACTGGTAAAGACTGTGGGGAGAGCACAGGCAAAAGGTGATACGGCTCCAATCATACCTTTTACAAACAGATGCTCTACAACAGATTAAAAAAAAAAAAGGGAACTTGATCAATAGAGCTGCCGCTTTCCAGGATCACAAAAGTGTTTGTAGGACACCTGTTAAGAGCAAAAGCATTCACTCTCTTTCAAATGGCCAATTATCCAGCATAAGATCAGAGTCCGGTCAGCACAACTACTAATTAGGGTTCTCCCAGCCTTTTTAATTTACAAATTGCTTCTCCATGCCTTCTCCCAGATTCTAAGAGTTATCACAAATGTCTACAAACACAACTGGACAAGTATTTCAAAGCAATTCTGTTCTGTATAGACTTAATCCAGTGCATTCAAAATAACTTACCCACTAATAGCTTCACATCTCTGACGGTGAAATCCGGGTCAGGCATTCTATAATTAGCAAAGAAAGCAATGTTAAATACCATCAAGATAAGTATGGGTACACTTTTGTTACCATAATAAAAGAGAAATAAATGTATAGTGCTCTTTGTCCATAATGCAGTAGGTGGAATCAAGCAAGGCCTCTCTGAAGTGTGGACAGTGCAAGTTTTAATGACATACGTAACATCTTTGCATTGGCAAGTGTACAAAAGTTTCTCTACTCATAATGAAAGAGGAGAAGAGGTGTCTTTTCACGCACTCTCTAGCAGTGCTGGAGTGGGAGGGAAGGGAAGGGATTGGGGGTGATTTCAATAAAACCCTAAACCTTTACAGCTTGATCCTGCTAAGCAACTCGCATGGTTTGCAACTGGTGGTGCCTCATGTATATTCCCCAAGGTGAGCATTATCACATTTGCCAGTGGATACAAACTGAGGCATAGAGCAGTAAACCAATTTGTTCAAAGGCACATCATCACAGGTTGGATTCACTACTTAGAAATAAAATATAAAAAATAATGAATTAAAGCCCCTTTGTTTTAATGACTATTCCAAACTTCCTTGCCTGGCAGAAGACAACCTGGCTATATTTGGTGGGTAGGGAAATTGTTGTTCAATTCAAACTGGGCTAATTTAGAGCTAAATTAAATGGTAGCATAATTGGTTCACCAATGTCGATGCATTTATACGCTCACTTCTAACACAGGCAATGTTTTGGGGGTTTAATGTAATCAGACAATAGCCTAGTACATCAAGTGAGTGAGTTTTACATGTCAGGTAGAGAGTAAAATTCTGCAACATATAGACTGGACAGAAAAAGAAAACAAAAACAGTAGTGGGGTTTCAAAGCTGATTGACTTCATCTTAATGACCGTATTTCACCCTTCACATTGCACAAAAACTGACTAAGGAATTGTAATGAAAAACAGCCCTGTGGAACCTGCCAGCTAGGTGCTCTGTCCCTCTTGTACTGCCCTGGGTTGAAGATAAACAACTTGCTTCTGGTCATAAAGGACTTTTGACATGATTCAGTTAGAAATCAGAACGAACCAGCCCATAGGCAAACTTTTAGAGCAATAGTTTTCATTATTAAGAAAACATTGAAAGGTAAAGTTAAAAAATGCATTTACTGTCATGCATATATCTGGATAACTATTTGCCAAATTCTGTTTGCCCACTTTCTTTTACCCTTACCACCTTCCTCTGGTGGGATGCAGAGGCTGGACAATATCTTTTGTTAGTTCTCCGCCAACCCTCACATCTTTGCATTTAGCTGCAGGGGCCCCACAGCTTTGGAATTTACTCCCTCGCTGGAATGAAACAGCCTGAATCTACTGACCTTCAGGGTTCATTCAAAGCTCATCTTTTTTTCCAAGCACTACAAAGTCAGAAGTAGGGGAAGAAGGAAGTATTTGTGGGAGACAAGAACATGCAAGGCTTATCTTCAAATGAAACAGCTTGCCTGTATTTTGTCAGACACAGAACAATTAGATGGCAATCTTTTTCACATTTGTATCAACCAAAATAAAAATCAACCACCAAGATAGGTAACAACCCTAATCCAGATGCATACAAGCAAACCCAGCCTTTCCAAGAGGTCCCACAGCAGCTGATAATAAACATTACTCACACTGGAAGAATACAATCGTCGCTAATAATAAAATTGCATGTTTAGCTCTTTGGAGAGCACACCTGGCATATCCTTGGGGTGTTTTCTCTGCAATCTCAGGATGTATGATACATTCGAGGAAGAGTACAGCAAGGGAAGAATTTCAGGCTTGAACACAGCAGGTTTCAAGTACAAGAACCCATTTTGTGGTTGGGTTGCCTTGCGAGGTCCAGCTTTAATTCAAACCCATTCTGCTGTCTGCTGAGACCATTAATGACTGTACTTCTTCGTCTCCAGCCCCACCCAGCATAACTGCCACACTCACTGTTATACAATTAGGGCTGGTTTGCTACAGCACAATGATAGCCAAAAAAAAAATTATTTGCTTGAATGTCACTGGACCTATACTAATCACTAAGTGTTGGTTCATTTGTTTTTCTGCATATAAATCCAAAACACCAACAATGCAAGAACTGAGCAGAGGGGGGTTTTTTTCCCTCGCTGTTATGCAATTTTCAGGCAAATGCATCTTGCATAAAAACACTATGAATGCTTCCAAAGATTTCATATATCATAAAAAATAGATAAAGAATAGTATAGCGGGCTGGCTTGACTTAACACCAAAATATGGCTACATCTCTACATTTGAGATTTTCTGCAATTCTGTTACATACAAATCATGTTGCCTCAAACAGAAAAGAAATGCAAACACCTTAGTGTTGCACTGGATGCAAACTTGGATTTTAGTAAATGTTTAAAGACTTGCTAGAGAAGTCTCCTATTCAAATCCTCATGAGGATGAGCTCTGGCTAGCATACATATCTGATTAACCACAATACAATGCAAGATGACTGTTGTTCAGATAAAAGAGACATCTCTCCAAACAGCATTCTCTCTCCAAGTTACAATCCTGGAAACAGACGAACAACCCTCTGAGAAAAACAGCTCCTCTTCAGCTAAGAGATCACAGGTGGACTTTCCTGCTTCTAGCCATACAAGTAACAGCTCCGAAATATACAAGAAAGCAATTTTCAAAGTTTCATTATAATAATTTTTTCTTCATTCATCTCATTCCTTGCCATTTTAGAGTACCTCCAAGCACAGTAACCAAACTGTTCAGCTACGCTTTGTACATCTGCCAGGCATAGACATGGAAGCTGACTGCTTAACAGCAAACAGAAGTGGAAGCACATATCATCAGTTATTCAAAACATCAGAAGTCTAAAAATCATCTTCTATCATATACTTTATAGACTACTGTATCTCAAAAGTCACCCTACAGACATGCAGATCACCTAATTTACTGTATAATGAGACACACAGCCTCCTCTGGACAAGAGACAGTAGTGCTAGAAAAGATCCAGTAAAGCATAATTTCCTCCAGAGCCTGAAGTGGAATGTAAGGTTCCTGAGTTTCATCAGCAAATTACTCAGATCCAAAGGCAAACTGTCCAGTCTCCCTCTACTGATGGAAGAAGGCAGGCTATGACACTCATTAATTCAAGCAGTAAATGTCAGGATAAGACTAAAGGTTCTCAACGTTTTGGATCAGTTAGGCAGGTGTCAATACTATTTTGATCTTGCTGGAATACAACGCACACAGCATTTATGTATCTACACATCCACAAAACTCATATATTGCATGCCAGCTACTTTTGATAGATACACATAAGAAGTGGAAATGTAAATAAAAATAAAACGTGTTATCCTGCAGAGTGCCAAATAGAAAAGTTTGCTCATGCATTTCACTTCTGTCATTTAAAATACACATAAACCATTTTTCCAGCCTTCTCTAACTCTAGTGACATTTATGCCCAAGTGCGTACAATTCTTTTACAACATCAAACTACTAAGTCATGCTCTTTTAAAGAAAAAATATTAGAATGTTGAATGTGCTGTAAGAGATTACTGATCTACAAATTCTAGTATTTTAATCCCCCAGAGCAGACAGTATTCAATGATTCAGCAGAGAATGGGAATATAAAAACAATTCACCCAACTAACTGTGAAATGGAGAATTCGACTGATTCCATGCAGGAACCATCCAAAGCTCACGTATCAGATAAAATTTGCTCTTACTTTTGTCAGCATACTAACTCACTAAAAATATCTTCAAAAGAAAAAAAAAAAGCTTCAGTATTTTTACTCTCTTCTCTGACCGTGAATTCCAGCTAGAAGAAGTTGCACACAATGTGTAGATGGTTCACAAAAGGGAAAAAGGGAAACAGCCCTAGAAAGGAGGAAAGATGTCAGAATAGTATTAGAATGATACCATCAGTTGGTAGGAAACTGAGAAGCTGGCTAGTCAAGCCTGGCTGCTGAGACTGTTTTAAGCTCATCACAGCAAACTGAAACACGTATTTCTCCTTCACTATCCAAAGCATTAGTGTGTGACAGAAAGCTGGGTAAGTGACTCCAAAACTCTTGCTGTAGATTAGCATTTACTCCTTTTCTACTTCTTCGCAATCCAGTTCAGAATTCAAAAGACACATTATCCTAACTGCCAGAGCTGCAGAACTCTAACTGAAAATAAAGGCAAGCAGCATTCAGTCCTCCTATTTCTTCACTTCCAATGCATGTTCCAAAACTGCTATTCATTCGACTGCTTTGATAATGCTTACAAAGAGAGGTACCTGATCTTCAGTGATCGTCTTTGAGGCATGGTCATCTATATACATGGATGCAAGCTGTGTATGTGCACGTACACATAAGCATTTGAGACCAGGTCTTTTTTTTGCCTCAGCGAAACACAGAAGTACATCTACAACCTGGTCTGTCTGTGCACGTGGCATATAACCACAAAAGGGGCAGGTACAGAGCCAAAGCCCTCCCTTCTTCAAGGTCTTAAACATTACTGGTGGCTTCCAGGAAGGAAGAGGAATAGGAAGGCTGACTGTGAATGCATCTAAAACCAACACATCTTGAAGAAAAACAAGCCAACACATGACACAAAAAAGCAGATTACTCATTATATGATCTCATTAGCTTGAGGACTCTCTGAACCCCTGGATCAAGAAAGACCAAAGACCATGCTCCAAAGGCCGTATCACACCAGGAGGCTTCAATGAAAGCGCACAGCTAACTGAAATTGGAGGGGAGTGCCAGGTGGCAGTTCTCCAGATTTCAGGCACAGGAACAACGGGGAAGCCAATGATGATGTGTGAGCTGAGATTCCAGTGTTAAAATGTCAAAGGTGAAATTACCTCATCACAGAATCCTAAATAATGAGCTATCAAGATGAAACAGGTATTACATCTTGTTGTTATGGACACCAAGAAACAAGGTATCTTTGTGAAGGATCTTGTGCAACCTTTACAGCACATCGGGCAGCCTGAGTTCTGAAGGCACCACTGTCTGGTACAGGCAGCCATAGGAGACACTGGTCCCAGGCTGGGGTGCTCACTATCCATCTCTGATAATGCCCTGCCATTTGCAGCTGAGGATCTGAAGCCCAGTAATGTTTGTGTCCGTGGGACGCACTCTCACTTCCGCACTTCTCTGCTGATGGAGCACTAGCTGAACAGGTACTGTTGGCACAGTAGGAGCTGAAACATCTCCACAGTTTTCTTCTTGTACTGTACGGAATTTGTGAACTTCCTCACACACAGGAGGAAGATCTGGCTGCTAGGAAGGTACAGCAGTATCTCTGGCTCCTAAACACTCCCCAGTTTCACAGAAGAGCTTCATCCAGAAAAAATTCTTTAAGCTTTTATCATTTGCCCTTTAGAAGCGGCAGTTTAAAACCAATGCATATAGAGAGAGCAGTTGTCTCAGATGATTTTCCACCACCTTCCACAGTAGATATGTCTTTCATTGGACCCCTCCAAGAGAAGCATCTCTTGAAGAAATAAACTGAACAAAAAAGTAGCAACAACCTTCAACAAAAAAAAACCCTCCCTGCCACATTGACCAGAGAAGCCAAAAGGAGGGTCAGAAAAACAGAGGCCCCAAAGCAGCAGGAAAAATGGTTCTAGGAGGGAAAGCTCCTGTATTTGGAGGCTGAGAGGAAGCGAGGAACTGGGATGCCAAGTTGGGTGAGTAGAGTGGAGAGCACAACCCTTAAGTGAGCAGGAATTTCCTGTAAATAATAAAGCTCCTGCTGAAGAAAAAAATTATTTAGCTTCAGGCGATGGTTACATATATACATACAGTGTAAATATACATTCAGACAAGCACTCAATCAATGGAGATGTCGTTGGCTGTCTAGGAAGTAGGCTAGCCAACAGTGTCACGAGTGAACGTAGAACAAATGGTACTTTACGTTAAGGAAACTCAGCTGAGAAGATAAGAAAATGATGCATCAGGAAAGACGATACTATAGTCATGTAATATATAAGCTAAGATTAAGGAGGTGGCTTCTGCAGGTGAAGCATAATTAAGCTATGAATATGGAAGACTTTTCTCTGCTCCTCAGGTTTTCATATGAAGGTTATATGGAAGGCTGTAGACTTCAGGAATATCAAAACAGATGCTTTTGTGTCCCCTCTTGTCCACAAGGAGAGCGGGATTTAAGGATCAATGCTTTCCACTCAACCACACCTTCTTTCAAATAATAAAACAGAAAAATTAGGTTATTCTTCTACGACACCACATAGGAGCATAGAACTGTTTAGAAACTGTAAGAAGTGACCAGCCTTTCTCACTTAATAGCTAGGGTTTCTACCTATCTTCTAAAACATTACAGAATACATGCACATTTTCGTCACAAAATTAGGATACAATCTAGGAAAGGCTTTGCACAAACAAACAAAAAGATGGTATCTTGGTGTTTGCATTTCTTTTTTTAACAAGAAACTAGACTATGTATCCAGGACTAAGTAGAGAAATAGCTGGGCTTAATAACCAAAGAAAAAAATATCCTGGTACAACATAATAGTACAACAAAATAAACATTACTGTAATTACTACTGAGTACCTATTAAGTGCATCCTGTTCAGGGTTCAACATATAAAACTATTTTACTGCATCATGAGAAGCATTACAGCAGCTTCTATTCGCTCTTATAGTAAAAGGACATATGCTTGTCAAATACGCCACACACTACTTCTTCTCTTTCTCTCCTTAAGTTATATTGGGGTGGCTTGATTCTTTTTAATTAAACAATTGGGACTCCTCAGTTCCCTAAACTTTGAGGCGTTCCAGCTGAAACTGAGCAAAGTAATTATGCTTTCAGAAAATTAATTTTCTTTCAGATATAATCAGTTACACAGTCCTAATTTCCAAAAGTATCAAGGAACATTTATCTAAACTATGGATTATGTGACTAATCAAGTATATCATTTAATATTTCTCTCTTAGACACTGTCACTTTTACAAAGAAACTTGCAGGATTCTCTTATTAAAATAACAAATCCTTTATGATTGGACATTAACAAAATGCAACCTCAAAAAGACTCTAATAATACCATGTTTTAACTAGACATTATTAACTATTTACAAAGCTATAACATTCTGAAGAAATACAATTATAATGGAAAACGACAGGCATCATTAGACATTCCACCTGTAACGCAGAAAACAATTGAGAAGTCAAAAATTTAAAGAAGGTTGTTCTGTCATTACAGCATGGATTGGATGCAAGGACCTTTGAATTTTCTTCCTAGTTTTCATCACTGACTTATTTTTGATTGTGTAGTACTACGCTGAATGCACTTAGCTTTTATAGACCTCATTATCTACTTGTTTATAAGTGGAAAATAATCATTTCTCTTCTCAAGGGTGCTGACAGTCTTACTAATTGCAATACATTTTGAGATCATCAAAAGAAATACCACATAGAAGTGGACAGTATAATGGTTATTTTATAAAAGCATTTATTAAACATCAAGATTTGGTTGTAACTTACTTAATTCCCAGTCCATCCTTATTTCTGAAGATAAGGGGAACTCTCAGAGCTTCTCTCTGCACATACTCAAAAGTAAAATCTGTTTGAATAACGAATAAAAAAAATCCAAAATCAATTACAACGGCATTAGCACCTCACATTACATTTTCTCAAAATGCTCCCCATTTCCCTTTGCTCACCACAGAACTCCACTGTCATGTAAAGAAAAATATAAAGAGAATGCATATTTATAGGTCCAAACCGGAAACCAAATGACAGACAATGCTCTCCCAGCTGCTCTCTATTTTTCCTGTTCACTGATGCACATAAAATAGAATCCAGTCAGAGTTTGTCAATTAAGGTCTGGGTTGAAATACCCAGGCTGTAATGAAATACCAAATTAACAGTTAAAAGATAATCCTAACTAAATTACTGCAAATCAGCCTAGTACTTTTGGGGCAAATGTGTAGTTTAAACTGGATGTTTAAGTTTACACATTCTAAGCTATACATTTCTACTTAGGAAAAAAACATGTTTTCTTGTCAGCGTTATCCAAGTATAGCAGAAAGCCCTAATTCTGTGAACACGTAATTTTCTTTTTATGTGAGGGTTACTGTTACTTTCAACAGGGTACTTTTTTTTGTTAATTAATCAGAAACATAACTGCAGGAGCTGACAGACAGAAATCTTATGCAGCTCCTGGCACTTAGGGAGATGGTGAAAAAAGAATAGATTTTATGTGGGAGTCACAGTATAACACACAAGCAAACTGAAAATTAAACATAAGTTTGTTATGTTAACACTGACCAGTATCACCTTGTTGCTTCACTCTGAGGATTACAGAGAACTGGCCTTTCCTGGGGATTTCTTTATGCAGTGGTCTGATACAATAGCAGTGATGTGGGGATTAGAGAGGAAGTTACAAGGCAGCGATTTGGGTGAGCTGTGCCTACAAAACCCTACACTCCATTTGGACCCTTCTGCCACAGAGAGAAGAGGAATTCCTGCAGTGGCCACGTACTGTTTCTATGGTTCTGCTATTCCCCCTTTCTTACAGGAAAAAATGACTTTTATATAGCATCCACACGCTACCTTAAAATGGAAAACATTGCTTGACTCTTTAGCACTACAAAATACACTACACGCTGCCAAATATACTATACGCTTTATGTATTATATTCAGGTACACACAAGTAGTTTAACTTCTCCAAGATTCAGCCAGCAATGTACACGCTTCCTAGGAGAGCATGAGAACCTCAGAGCCGAGCTTATATTGGTAATGTTTCTCTGCTGTAAAAATCCATACTGAAAGAAACAGGGGAAACAGAGGCTAAGCTTCCATGCCTGCAGATGCATTTCCCTCTATTTTTACAACTTTTTCTTTGCTGTATTCAGTTAGTAATTATGACAAGTAGGGATATAATATTCCTACTTAGAGTTACCAAATCAGAGCACTGTAATTATCCATTTACAAAAACATTAAAATTACAGAAACTTTATTGCTACTAGTCTCAAAATAAGTGTAATGAATGCTCCAATTAACTAAGGTTACCAAATAAATATTTCTGTACTAGAGAAATCTTCATTCCCATTAAAACTATTGGCTTTAGGTAAGCAACTAAATAAACCACAGATATTTGTTAAGGACACTCATCCACAACAGAAAGTCAACAAACATCAAGAAGAGTATCGGTGGAAGCTGAGGCAGCTATATAGTCTAGCAGACTAGAGAACAAGTAGCTATGACAAACTGCATTCAAGCCAAAAATCATGCCACTGCCTTGCAGCACCTCGAGGAAAACCTCCAACCCACATTCTTGGCCAAAAAAAAAAAAAAAAAAAAAAAAAATCAAAGAAGAGTTATCGTTAAAAGTAAAACGAGGACATGGGAAATAAAAATAAATAAATATATCGCTCAACCAATTCCATGTGTTCATATAAACTGACTTTTTTATTCTTACTAACCACTGTCATTGTTTTGCCTAGATTAAACTCCTGGATTTATAGAAAAAATAAACCAATAGTAAAAATAAAACCAGAGCAAATAGGAAGGCAGACTCTTTCTTCGTAATACCCCAACAAAGCATTTAAATCCCTTGTGGGGTCGAACAAAGCAGACACAGACCACAACAAAATAACAAAAGACACTCATTTATTTTCAAGTTCCCTAGAAAGGAGAAAGCTACCCAAAGATTGTAGAGCTGCTGAGCTAGGGGAGCTGTGGATTGTACTATAGTTAGCATGTAGCAATAGCAACCACTGGAGTATTTGGAAGTTGAGGGTAGAATGCAATCATTTTCTGGAAAATTAATTAACATTTTCCAGCTAAAAAAATAGGTGTTTGTGTTTTGTTTGGAGGAAGAGGGGTCAGGGTTGAGCTTATCTCCTAAACAAATACCTTCCTAAATAAGATAGGTATTTAATTTCTCCACCACATTAACTTTTCTAAAAGGAGCTTAAAATGCTCATGCAAAACTAAGCCTAGGGGAGAAAAGGAAATTTTCTAAACTAGATTAGTGGCTCCACAGTTATAGCCATTTCAGGAGGATTACACCCAAAACTACTCTTTCCTGAGAAAGCCAGCTTAGGCAGGGAGTCCTCAATAAGGCCGAGTTTTGGTGATAGCCATCTGGGATTCAGGATCCGTTTCAACAATGCCGCAGTAAATAAAGGTGACTTGCACCCCCCACCCCCCGGCCCGTTTGATTCCCGGGCAAACTGCTCTCCTTCTCCTTCCTGCCAGGCAACCATGCTGCAGAGCTGGGCTGTCTGGCTTCGCCTACCGCTCCGAAATTTAAGTCACCTAAGCAAACCAAAGAACTTTGGGGAGGGGAGCGTTGTAATTTAATATATGATAGAAAGACAAAGAAGTTATTGACTTTAAAGTCTCCGACCCCGGCGAACAGGATCATCAATTGCATCCTTTTGGAAAAGGGGTCCTGGATTCAATAGGGGGCGGAGGGCGAGCAGGAATCACCTCCGGCTAAGTGGGGGCTGGGGTTTCTGCCTCTCCTTTGCCAGGACCTAATTCCCGAACACCTCGGTGGTGCGCTGGGGTCACGGTAGCGGAGCACGTTGGAGGCGGGGGGAGCGCAGGGCTCTGCCGTTTATCACCACGCCGCCTCCCAAGCACCACGTCGGGGCACAAACAGCCCTCCGGGTGCGGGGGGACAGGA